ATATGAAAAGGTTAATGGGAGTACAAATTTGTTGGCGGGCAAATAAGTATTTGAAGTCAAAGCTTATCAATTTTAACTAAAAAAAGTTAAAAGTGGACAAATACTCAGGAACCGAGGGAGTATAATCATAAGAAAAACTATAATAATAATAATAATAATAATAATAATAATAATAATAATAATAATAATAATAATAATAATAATAATAATAATAATAATAATAATAATAATAATAATAATAATAATAATAATAATAATAATAATAATAATAATAATAATAATAATAATAATAATAATAATAATAATAATAATAATAATAATAATAATAGTAGAAGGGGAAGAGAACAAAATGGAAGGGGTGGGAGTATAGAATCGAAGGAGGAGGTGAAGGAGAATTGAAGAAGAATAAAAAGAAGAAAGATGCAGAATGAAGAGGAAATCATGAACAAATTGAAGGATGATGATGAAATCATGATGATGATGTGGATGATAAAGGGGAAGAAGAAAAGCTAACGGAGTGAATGACGGAAGGATAAAAATCCCCTATTGTAAGTATATTTTTAAAATTAGGGCGGACATGTTCGAATGGTCCAAACGAAGACAAAAACCTGCCATTCTTCGATTATCAGCGGCAAACAGCGACAAAGCATGTTTGGACTCGGATTTTGAGTCCTAACCCGGGAAGATCTCAATCGCATCAAATCGGAAGACCCAGATTCAATCTTGAATCCTAATTCGAGACGGGAAGCGAAATTCCAGCCCCTATAAACGCACCAGGCAGCAGCGGTGATCAGGAGATAGAGACGAGAGGAGAGAGGATCGCATAGCAGCGGCGAGGATTGCCACCACCGACCTAGGGTTCCGACCCTAGGTCCGGCGATGGTGGCGACGTGGACTGGAGAAGAGGACAGGGGCGGCAGAGAGTAGAAGAGCCGACCTAGGGTTCCGGCCCGGCAAGACGACGGCAACTGGATTCCGGCGAAGGAAACGGCAACGACGGCGATGACAATTCTGGCGCGGCGGTTGACTATTGTTTCCTGCTGTGCTATGCGAACAATGAAGACAACTGAGGGAGCACTTTTTTCCCCTTTTAAAACTACTTCGTGCTTTTTACAAACTTTGGCTTTTGAAATTTTGAAATCTTTGTTTTCCGATTTCATGATGTCTAGTATTAAAAATATACTTTATGTTGAATTCCCAATCTTAATTTTGTGTTGAAATGTTTGAGTGCTAATGTTGAATTGTTCAAATATGATTTATTAATTGATTATTGTCTCTGGAATTATAAAATCTTCTTAGGCCAAAGTGTTTGACAAAAAGATTGAATCTTTGATTTGGTTGTATTTGTTGGGTTAATTTGACTTTTAAGAGATTTTTGCTCTATGCTACTGTTAAATCTAAACTCAAAAAGGTGTTTGAAAATTGGTCTTTGTTTAAACTTGGAGTAGATCAATTTAGGACGACCGCCTAAACTCTAATTCCAATTGACAGTTTTAAGATCTTGAGTACGTCTATAGCTGAGATTTTCAAAACACAAGTGTCACCTGGTTAATACTTAACTGGCTCCCACCCGATTTTTAAAAATTAGAGTTTTCAAACTGGCTATGTTAAATAGCCAAAGAACTTAATGCTCTATTTATAATTAAATCTGGGGGCAGGTCCTTGGGTTGTTAGAAATAGTAGGTTCTAGAATTAGGACATGTCTTAACATAGGCTATATTAGGGAGAATAGGGAAGAATCGCGAGTGGATCTCTTCTTCAGCTTAATCCTGAGCTTAATTAGCAGTTTAGTTTCAAGACATAATTAACTGATTAATCAAATTTGTTCAGTTTATTTTCTATTAAAAACTAAAAGTATTTTCAAAATGGTTTAAATTAATTATTATTGTCTACGTTTTATAAAGTTTATTTTGTGATTGTTTTTATGTGTTTGTTTTCTCCCTGAGTATTCTTCTGAGTTTTGAGCTTGCTGTTGTGATTCCACCTCTTATCTATTATTCTTTATCTTTATTTTATTGCATTTTTTATCTTTTTAGAATTATCATTCAAACCCCCCATATCCTTTAGTTTTAGTTTTTTTAGATCTTAGTTAGTTTTTATTCAATAAAAGTGTTAAGTGAACTGATTTTCATAGCTTAAAAGTATCTTTCCTCGTGGGATTGACCCTTACTTGCCATATCTATATGTTTTGATGAATATTGAATCATAAAGGGGGTTAAGAGTTAAGGAAATTAATTAATTAATCCGTATGTGCTACGACACGCCCAACAGTAAGAAATAGGATATGGAAATTTGGGTTGAGGTAGGGAAGCTTGTGAAGCTTTAGAAATTGTCGGGTGGACGGGAATATATTCAAGGTCACTAAGTGAGAATTCAAATCTTGGTATGGTTGGATTAAGGGCAAGGCTTTGAGCGTAGAGTTAATTCTCCAAACGAAGCTCTTCAATGATAGAATCTATATCCTCCATGATTGCACACCTACAAAGATAATACAAAAAAAATGAAAACAAATAACAAAAAAGAATGGCCTAGTCTCCACTATTTCAATTAATGTTACCTAACACAAAGCACTCAAAACCGTTGCTATCCCCGGCAACGACACTAGTTTTGATGCAAAGATTTTTCGATACGTCGTTTGATAACGAAAACCTTCGATCAAAAAGAGATGAGGTGAAGTGATATGGAAATGTGGAAAATGTAAATGAGTGAGTATAGTGGTGGAAGTAAGGGTTGTCGTGTCCACGAGGGATAGCGTACTTGGTTAGGAATCGAGTGCAGAGTATAACTAAACACTAATATCAAATTGTTAAACGTGAATCAAGGTCTAGAGATAGAGCAGGTGAGAGAAATGCAAGTGCAATGAAGTAAACTAATGCAACAAACAAACTAAAATGAGATGCAAGTGATAAAGGAAAAACAAGCCTAGGTTAGGAGATTTCATGCTAATCAATGCAATTGCCAACGAAATAGAGGAAGATGAGAAATCAACAATGAAGCGAGCAAATCACCCCGATTTCACTTCCGTGAGAATCGGAAAAGAATCCCCTAGAGAAGAATCTACTTCCATGGCGCTCGTCTCAAGAGAACTACAAACACATCATTCCGTGGTAGGACTTGAGAGTAGAGACACACGGCTAGGAGTCTAAATCCCGATTCCTCGGTGATTTAGAACTCAATCCGGAATACAAGAATGCAATCATGGCCAACAATAACATCCAAGCATAGATATAACACAATCCCTACAAACATCCCTAAGCTAAAATCTCATATCTCACACCAATTCATGAACGACAAACACAAATCAACAATTCATCCCTAACCTAGGCTAGAAAATCTAACCTAGCATGCTTAAACTAAAGAGATGCATAAAAGATAAGAGAGTAAGAAAATAAACTAAAGGCATAAACGAGATGAAGAAATTAATAATCTAACCCTAAGAAACAACTAAATAATATTAAAGAGATAATATTAAGGTTGGAGCTCCCAAAATGAAAAGAGATGGTGATGAAGATGAATAAACCCTAGTCTAAAATATGGAATGAGAAGAAATGGGGGAGCTCCCTTAACAACTGGAGCTAGGGGAGTATATATAGAGTAGAAGAAATTGGGAGTGAAATGACCCATAATGATATAACTAAAACCAGAAATAAGAGTAGAATTTAAGGGTAAATGGGTCAATTTACACGCCAAATTGGATCTGGGTTTGCTCTTGCTTGTCCTCGCTGGTTTGGACTCGGTGCAATCAACGAAAAGAGGGAGTCAGCTGCCAGTAATGCTCGTCGCCGGAGCAGGGGGGAAGCCCTGGTCGGAGCCTCGCAGGTTGTCGCCGGTGGTTCGTCAGTTTGTCCGGGTCGGGTCACTAGTTCTTGAAATCTCCCCATGCTGCTGCTGTCCGTTGCATGGCCTGGAGGCTCGCCGGAGGTCTCCGTTCTCACCTGTGCTCTTCGCCGGCGGAAACTCGTCGTCGCCGCTGTAGGATGCTGGATTGCGACTGGGTCTGGTCACGATTAGTTCCGGGTCGCGTAGGATGTCGCGATTCCCTCCGTCTCCGTCGGATTAGCATTTGATTTGGGGAAATAAAACTTCTAGAAATTCTAAATTGGCCCCACAATGTTATCCTTGCTTGCAATTCAATCCTTTTCTTTCTAATTGGACCCTAAAAGCAATCCATAACCACAAATCAGTCCAAATTTAAATATTTAAAGAACATTTCACAATTAAGCCTCAAATTTTATTAAAATTCAAGTTAATAAGTCTATCAAAAGATAATAAAATATAAACAAATAACAAACTTATCAGTAATCGGCGTTGGTTTTTGGCGTCCGCACACAACCAAGTAGTTTTTAACTTTTTATGATTGGTTTTTATTTCTTGAAATGTTTAAATAGTTCTCCAACCAAAACGCTTCAAAAACCAGCTTTGTTTTTTGGTCTTTTGGTAAAAACCATGTGAAACGGAATAAACTTGGCTATCCGTGGTTTTTACCTAAATGGCGTGGTTGTTAAGATGTTTCACTTGGTTTCTTAAAACAATACATTAAATAAATGTTTTCAACACTTGCTTTTAAATTTGGAGAATTTTGATTTTTGACATCGGCTTTCGGTGTTGACTGGCTAGCCATGGTTCTTGCAAACCAGCCCAACAACGATTTTGGAGTTCCCAACAGCATTGCCTGGTGTTGGCACCTGAAAACCATGGTTTGACACTAAGTCCTCCAATAGCGATGTTGGTTACTGTACATCGCTGTTGAGCCAAGCCTGAAATTCCAAAAGCTTTTTGAACAACGATGTAGACGTCTCTACATCGATGTTCAACTCAAGCCAAGAGAAATTGTTTTTGGCAGAAAGCTTTTGATCAGCGATGTTGGCCCAGCAACATTGATGTCAGGCAAAATTCTTCTTGGGAAGGTTAAGCCTGAACAGCAATGTTCACTTATGAACATCGATGTAGGCACCTGACCGTTGGAAGAAATTAAAGACTAAAACCTTCCATGTTTAGAAGTCAATGCCTTGAACAACGATGTTCACATTCTAGACATTGTTGTTGGCTTGACCGTTGAAGCTTCCAATTCAGAAATCTAAGCCTTAACAGCGATGTTCAATTTATGAATAGCGTTGTCAGGCATTTTTTCAGCAAATCCAATTTTAATCAAATCCCACAAATTATGCTAATCATCCCCAATAAACTCCCACACTTTGGAGCCTATTTTTCTACTATAAAATGGGGGTGTTTGGGTCTGCTTTTCAAAACTAATAACTTCACAATTCATACTCCTTCATTACATTCCACCATTATATTTTTCATAGCTTTTGAGATCCATTTGTGTGAAGTTTTTGTTGTGTTCTTGAGCGTATTATTTTACTCATTATCCACTCTTTTGAGAGAGCTTTGTTCTTGAGTGTCTTAGTGTTTTACACACTTTAAGGGAAGCTTGTTTCCCTTGGTTGTACGAAGGAAAGGTATTTTCCTTCGGGTTAAAGTCTTAGAGTGCGGTATCTCCAAGCAAGTGTATTGAGGCTCGTGTGACTTGAGTTCTCAGGTTGTAACAGTTTGTTAAGCACCCGTAAGCTTAACGGAAGTAGTGTAGCTCAAAAGAGCCTCTCGGGAGACTGGACTAGCCACACGTTGTGGTGAACCTCTATAAAACTTGGTGTGCTCCCTTTACGCTTTTCACACTCTTTACTTTTTACGTTCTTAATTTTTTTTCCTGCATTTTTTCCTGATCTTTTTCGATTAACAGTTGGTATCAGAGCCTAACCACCGTTTGAGAGGTAAAAGATCATGGCTTCTAGTTCTAGAAATTGGTACGCAGGAATAGGTGAAGGGCAATCAACCACACGGCCACCTCTTTTTTATGGAACCAATTATACATATTGGAAAGAATGGATGAGAATATATATTCGTTCCACGAACTTCCAATTATGGTTGGTCATCAAAAACAGGGAAGAGGTGCCGATGAAGAAGGTTGGAGACAAGTTAATCCCCAAGACCGAAGATGAATTTGATACCGAGGACATAAAGAAAGTAGAAATTTATGCCAAGGCCATCAATATGATCTACTTTGTGGTCAATCCCGATGACTACAAAAGATCTCGTGTTGTTCAACCACAAAGGAAATGTGGGGCAAACTGGAGGTCACCTATGAGGGAACTGACCAGGTACGTGAGGCTAAATTGATTTTCTAACTCAAGAATATGAAATGTTTAGGATGAAAGAGCAAAAGAAGATTGACGATATGTTTGACCGGTTTTCCAAGATAGTCAACGATCTTCATGCCTTGAAGAAAACTTACACCGACAAGGATCTTGTAAGAAAGATCCTACGGAGCTTGACATCCGAATGGTGTTCCAAGGCCGATGCCATCTATGAGTCAATTGGAGCATCCAATATCAACATCGACGGCTTAAGAGGTAATCTAAAAACCTATGAATCTACTATACTTAACCCGTCTCTGAATGATCAAAGGAAAGGCATAGTGCTAAAAGCCGTCAAAGAGCCGACGGTGAATTACTCAAGAGATGACGATGAGATCAAGCTTGTCATGAAGAAGTTCTGTAAACTTTTAAGGAAGAAAGAAAAGGTTGAGGATGGCCCTGTGTGCTATGGATGTGGAGAAGCCGGGCACATCAAGAACAAGTGCCCTAAAGGCCGAAGGAATGCACACTGCTTCAAAAAGAAAAGGGCATACATACCCTTGGGAGGAGATTCCGGAGATGAAAGCAGCGAGGAAGAAGAGGAATAAGAAGCAAACATATGTCTTATGGCACACGAGGAAGACTCACCAACGACCTCCGACAATAAAGAGGTATGTACCACTCCCTCTAAACCCTACTCTTTTGAGGAAATGCAAGATGCACTACAAGAACTCTATCAAGAGTTTGTCAGAGCTTCTAAATTGAATAAATCCTTAAAGAACATTTCTCTATTCTAGAAAACGATTTTGAAAAATTGAAAAAAGAAAATGAAAAATTGAAACAAGAAAATAAATTTTATGGTAAAAGAAGCGCCGATAAACCGGAGAATTCTTCCAACAGATGTGACTCTTGCAAAGCCTTGAAAGAACAAGTTGCAAAACTTGAAAACACGATTAAGAGGTTTAATACACCGCAAAGATCTTAATACTATTCTTGATTCTATGCAATCCACTAAGGAAGGAATATGTTTTGGCAAATATGAAAATGATGGTAAGGTTGAGCATCCACTTAACCAACCTAGAGCTCAACTAAGGAATGATAAAAATCAGAATAATAGACCACCTAATAATACTAGGAACAGTAGACAGCATGCTAGATCATCTAGAAATGACTATCAAAACAATTTTACACACAAATTTCACATTTCACAAGATATGAGAAATAATGTTAGACCACCTAGAAATGATACTTATGAAAATATGCATAAACCATCTTTTCCTCAGAATAGGACAAACGCGGTCACGCCCCTTAGCTACTATAAACCTAGGCGTATGTTCAACCCAAACGTAATATGCCATTATTGCAATAGGGTAGGACATATAGCTCCCATGTGTTTTAGCAGACATAGGCATTGCACCTACACTAAAACACACAACATTTTTGGTGTTAACAAAAAGTCATCCTTTGGAAAAGGATATTTGTGTCATAAACAATCTCCATAGGATAATGTACAAAAGAAACCATACTATTTCTTCTACTTTGACGAAAAGAAGAAAGTCCATATTCCGTTACTGGAACCCACACAAATCAAACTGAGATATCGGCACTCCATTCGGGTAGATTGGAACCCGCCAACCATGAGACGACGGGTTGGCCAAGGTAACTCTTAAACAAACACTTAATCGTGTGTGTTTGTGTGTGTGTGTGCGCGCGTGTGGGGATGAACTTTGGGTGCGTGCATGGGCAGTAAAGTTTAACTAATCCCCAAGGACCCATAGACATATTCTGGGTACCAAAGGTTTATTTTGTAGGTGAGCAAAGAGCACAAAAATCAGGGGGAACCATGCAAACATCGATGCCCACAAAGCAACATCGATGTCGTGACATCGCTGTTTAAGCAGCTTACAACGCTGTTGAGACAAACACCGTCAACAGCATTGGACCAACAACGATGTCAATAACCCCAACATCGGTATCTCAAGGAGTTCTTTTCCTCCCTTGATTTCCAGAAACTTTGGGAACAACGATGTAGTTCTTTCCAACATCGCTGTCACAGGAAGTACACTCTTTTCATTCAAAACCAGAAACTTTTCCAACAATGATGTACAACTACACAACATCGCTGTCCACTTTTACAAATTTTTTTTCCTAATAATTAAACAGCGATGTTAAAATTCACAACAACGATGTTCAAAAGGGTTCACCATTTTCACTCAGTTCCAGAAACTTTTGGAACAACGCTGTTGAGTGCAAGACATCGCTGTCCAAAATTCAACGAGTTTTAAACTTAACGCACAACAGCGATGTACACCAGGTCAACATCGATGTCCCAACAGCGATTTAGACCTTTGGACATCGCTGTTCAGATCAAATTTTTCAAAAAAATAACCATTGAGAACTAAATTTAATGCTCGAACAGCTATATTTTTGAATTGTGAACGTTGCAAACCACTATCCACTATCTATTTGGACCCCATTTCATCCTTTTTCACTAACACAAACACAATCTCTTGCATCTTCTTGCATATCTCAACTTAATCTTCTCAATTCTTCTCACTTTTCTCTAAAAATGGGCAAAGACAAGAGCAAAGGCACTGCTACCGGGAAATCGAAGTCCAAATCACGGGCTCCAGTGACCTCCTCCTCTGACCGATTCTACTATCAAGATGGGTTGTACCTTTGGTTCGACACCGAAGAGGAGCGCACCCGCTTCCTAACTCACTTCGCCAAGCAGGCAGTGGGGCCACCGAGGACGCTACCGGAACGTCTCTTGTTGGAAAACATTTTCACTTTGACGTTTTGCTAATGACAATGTTTGTTTCCGTTTAGGTTTTGATATTGACAAACCGTCGGGAACATGGAACAAAACGAAAAGGTTCAAAGAGATATAAAAAAGAACAAAAAAAACAAGAAAGGCATTGACGTTTCTAAAGATGACGACACTGGCGTTTTGAAGATGTTGTCTAAATACTTAGGTTTTTATTGTAACAAGTTGATTCAATTTCTCTAAGACATGGCTCAAAACAAAATATGTTTTTCATGCATCAAATGAGTGTTTTCATAAATAATTTTAAGTTTCTAAATCCCCTGGTTCTTGCCCAACCAAAACCATAACCATTGGTTATCGGTGTTCGGCTATGGCGTTCGGTTTTCGTCATTGGTTATTGGCATTGATTTTAGCCAAATGGTTTTTGGGCTTTTATCTTTGGTTTTTTATTCTGAACACATTTAAAGGTTTTTAAAATGATTAGTTTTCAAAAACCATAACCTTTGTTTTTAGGCGTTGGTTATCGGCATTCGGCGCTGGTTATCGGCGTTGGTTTTTGTTGGCGTCCAAATCAATAATGTGTTTTTTAATATTTTATGATTGGTTTTTACTTCTGGGCATATCCAAACAGTTCTCTAACAAAAACATGTTAAAAACCACCTTTCATTTTTGGTCTTTTGGTGAAAACCATGTGAAACGGCATGAACTTGGCTAGCCCTAGTTTTTACCTTAATGAAGTGGTTTTTAAGTTTTTATACTTGGTTTCTACATAAAATACATTATATAAGAGTTTCCAACACTTGGTTTTTATTTTGGAGAACTTCACATTTTATCGGCCGGGTTTCAGCATCGGTCGGCTAGGCCATGGTTCAGGAAAAAACCATAGGTTTTTGGACTAGCCATCAACCTAGCGATGGGAGATATTACCCATCGATGGGTAAGTGGTCCTTTAGCTCAGCTGGATTCCAAAAGCATGTCACACAACGATGGGGAGTTCCACCCATCGCTGTACAAGCCTTGGTTCAACATTAACACAAGGTAGAATGCCCTCACCTAGAGATGGAAACTTGGACACATCGCTGGGTACCCAGCGATGGGAGGGTATACCCATCGCTGTTTAGGCATGACCGTTGTAAGGCATTTAAGCCTGATTCTTTCCTTGTTTGAAAGTCAACCTCCCACCCAGCGATGGGAAGTGCTTACCCATCGATGGGTAGGTGACCGTTGTCTTTAAAACTAAAGGAAAAATGGCTTACCAGCGATAGGTAGATCCACACATCGCTGGGTAGGCTGATATCCTGCAGATCCACTTCTATTTGATTTCCACAAATCATGCCTTTAAACCCAAATCAACTCCCATTCGTTACACATCATTTTTGGGTATAAATAGGTGTCTTTTGGGTCTATTTTTCACAACCATTCCTCACACATTTCATAGCTTTACATTGCATCATTCCATAAACTTTTTACATAGCTTTTTAGAGCCATTTCTTGAGGAATTGAATGTAAAATAAAATCTCAAGAGTGAATTGATAGATGAGAAGTTGAAATTATCAGGTTGAAAATAATATATCAACTATCAAATGTTAATGGTGGCTAGCTGCTGAACATTGATAGGATAATTATCAGTCGGTGGTCCAGAGTAGGCTCTCTGAGCAAGCACGGCGTTCACATTTTGCGTCATATGGAACGCATCCCAAAAGATGTATTGAGTCCTATTTCCACAAGGAGGATAGAATGGGATACACGTCATTTGCCCCATGTTTGTTCCTATCCCACAACATGGTCTATCCCATATAGAAAACCCTGCGCGCCATTATTACAGACCATCAATCATTCAAATACTAATCAACTCATCATTATGATGGAAATTATTATAAGAAAAAACTAACTTAACTTTGAGGGATATATATAACCGAACTGAAATTAAACCGAACCGATTATAACATACGGAGTATATCGAAAAGATATCTAGACGGAATAATTCTAAACTGAAATCAATCTGATTACCACCTCTATACCTGGAGTATGGAGAATAAAATCTTAAAGAAGGTGGACTTAGGCTCCATTCCGTTCAACTTATTTTTACTGATCTGATCTGATTTTTTGTAGTTCTGATCTGATTTTTTGTAGTTCTGATCTGATCTGATTTGATTGGATCTAATCTGATATGATTGGATCTGATTGGATCTGGTCTGATCTGATCTGATTAATTATGATTTGATATAAATTCAAATCAATAATTTGATTTGACTTTATAATAACGATAGAAAATTGTAATGATCATTCATATTATAGTATAATCAATATTTTTTATTTTATGATTATTTTTTAATAAAATAAAATTAGTGAATTCATATATTAGAATAATAATTCATATTATAATGTAATAATATTTTTTATTTTACGATTATTTTTTTGTGAAATTAGAATATTAATTTAATATTTCAATAATTACTTCATATATACATTAGAATAAATATTTAATTTATATATACATTAAAAAGTAATTAAATTTAGATAATCAATATATAGAAGAGATAGTATTTTTATTAAAATATTTCATCCTTATAAAAGATCAAAACTTTAGAAACTCAAATTACAGGTAGCAATAAAAATGTATTTTAAAAGTAGAATTAGACTGACATTGTCAATGTATTTTAAAAATAATTTTTCCGACATCTATTAATTAAGGATTATTTTCTCAGTTTTCTATTTAACTTGTTTCCAAAGTTTATTATTTTTCATTTTTAATAACAACAACAACAACAACAATAATAATAATAATAATAGTAATTCTTGACGGGATCTGATCTGATCTGGTCTGATCTGATATTATCTAATCTGACCTGATCTCATTGGATCTGATCTGATCTGATAGGATATAATTTGATCTGATCTGATTTAGTCTAATCTGATCTAATTTTAATAAGAATAAGAAAAAATAAGTTGAATTGAACGGGACCTTATTACCATATTTGGCACGATTGTTCAATATATCGCCCATTATAGCATAGGTGTTCCCATATACAAAAATAGCGCCAGGATGTCCACCATTGTTAAGCGTCTCCACTAGACTTCTCAAACCATCATTGAAGCTCCCAAGCATCTGGTTAACTGAGTCAACGCATCTCCCTGTTTGGGCCTGGCCTGTGGCTAGCTGGTTTGGAGTACAACCAATCGGCCCAATCCCTGCTATATAGAACTTCCTCAACCCAACACTATATAATGCCTGTATGCAACTTCACAAAATGTAATCTTTGCAATGGTATGTATTACACTACATACGAAGTAGAAAAGAATGGGATAATAGTGCTGAGGACCCGCTAAATTTTTTTGATAGACTATTTGAAATGACAAAAAAGAAAATGTCTTATTTCCGATATTTATTAAATGTAAAATATCTTTAATAGGTAAAGTAAAATTTTATTTTATAAACAATTAATTTTATACAAAAAAATACTCTTTACTATAAAGTTAAACAAAAAATTTAAATTTGACCTAATTAGATGAGATCACATTAATTTTTTGTTGGGGGCATAGGTATATAAAATTTTAAAAAATACTCCCTCCGTCCCAAAAAGTTTGTTACGTTTAGAAAAAACTGTGTCCCGTAAAGTCCGTTACATTTCTATTAAAAAACTACTTTTACCCCTTACTTTTTCATACCCTACCTATCACATCATACCTTTTTTCTAATAATCTACCCATCACATCCTACTTTTACCCATCACAATAAGGGTATTTTTGGAAAGTCAATACCAAAATATCCCTCCCTTAATTTTCCAAAAAGTCAAACCGTCACATTCTTTTTGGGACGGAGGGAGTAATATTTTTAACCTTATCACAAAAAATTAGTTGGGGGCATTTGCCCCCTACTCATTGCAATTGGATCCGCCACTGTGCATGTAGTGAGAACGATATACCATAATGTCATTCTTTTCTACATTGGTATCAAACATGTATTCCTATTAGTTCTACATTGAAAAATGATTAATGTTTTAATAGTGTAAATTTTTTCCTATTATTCGATTAAGTTTAACTAATCGACCAAACATACTACCCAAAAAAATGTGTAGGACCATAAAAAATGCAAAAGATTTTTAATTTGACTTCTTCTAGTCAAACAAGATAAACTTTGAACTTTAATTAAATAAAAATCGTAATGTATATTTGTATAAAAATGATTTAATTAGATTTTTCTTGTTGAGAACTTTCAAAATTTTATTTCATTATACTAATGTGTAATAGAAATGGAGAGTAATTGAAGTTTGAGATTTGCCGAGTTTGACTCGAATAAATTAGATGAGACAAATACACTGAGACGGAGCTAGTATTTTAGTTATCTACTTGTTTTATTCATTGTGACCGATAATCATAGATCATTTTTAAATACGAATAATTTATTGGAAGTTATGAAAAATAACTTATAAAGAACATATAAAGTATAAACGAGTAATGTTAAATTAAAAGGAATGGAATACAATCAAGTTTCAATTACTCCTTTTTCATGTTTTTCATTTCATTACTTTAAGAGTAAATTTCTAAAATAGTTCTTTTTGAGAATTTATTTTAATTTAACTTTAAAGTGTATAGTGAATTGGGAAAATAGTTTGAGATGATGAAAAGTATATACTCTATTGGACGTGTTGCACATTTGTTTCGTCTATCTAAAAAAAAGGTTCTATTTTCCACTCATGAAAATGTTTTTTGTGCCCTATATATTTTTTCTTATCTTCAATACTTTCAATCATGCAATTTTATTTTTCTTGATTTACATGCCAAGTTAAACGTAGAATCTTTTTATTTGCGGGACAAACTAACTCTACTTTCTTTGTACATTTTAAGCGATCATTTGATAAAATAACTTTATCGATGTAGAACTTCTAATGTAATTTTTTATATATTCTACACTTGTTTTTATTTATATTTATTTGAAAATAATTTGGCTAAACTCCACTATTGGTCCTTCAACTTTATCAATTGTGCACGATTGATCCTTCAAATTTTAAAAGTCCATAAATAGTCCTTCAACTTTATAAGTTATGCACGATTGGTCCTTCAAGTTTTAAAAGTGCATAAATAGTCCTTCAAGTAAATGTCAGCCCTCCAGATGAGGTCCTTTTGACAGTAAATGTTAAAAGCTAAATGGAATACTAGCTCCATATAATACGGAGTAGTCGTACCTAGTGGAATTTACTCGTATTATATGAAACTAGTATTTCGTTTAACTTTTAATATTTACTGTCAAAAGGACTTCATATGGAAGACTGACGTGTACCTGAAGGACTACTTATGGACTTTTGAAATTTGAAGGACCAATGGTGCAGAACTCATAAAGTTGAAGGACTATTTATGGACTTTTGAAACTTGAAGGACCAATCGTGCACAACTGATAAAGTTGAAGGACCAATGGTGGATTTTAGCCAAAATAATTTCATTCAAATACGGAGTATGATAAATCGAACGGGAGTCTTATTTTAGGATGAGGAAGTACATGTGAATAAAAGCATGCACGTACGTACCACAAGTTGTCTGGTATAGTGGTTGAGGAGAAGGGTGGCGAATTGGGAGGTATTGTAGTTGAAGCTAGTAAGGTAGATAGAAGGCATGAGATAGTTGTTTACGTAGTCGTTGCTCCCAATAACAACCACCGCAATTGCTTTTGATAGGTAGCTACTTACATTGGCCGGACTCATCATCGTCCTTAACTGGCTCAAAGTGCTTTCGAAATTCACCACTTGTTGGCTCAATGTGTACCTGTCCATCTGCATGCATACATATGAAATTCAAAAGTTTCACAAAAACGATACAATAATAATCTAGCAAGTGCAGTTCAGTTATGTAAAACCGACCATAACCGTTCGGTTTGATCGGTTGGTTTTCCTCTATGTCGGTTCGGTTTCGGTCGGATAGCATGGACCAAGATGTAATTTCGGGTTTTCAATCGAAAGTTCGAAAAACCGACTGGATGCTCACCCATAGGATTAATTAAAAGTATAATAAATATAAGTAGTGACTGAGTACGTATTACATAATGTCGGGCAGTTTCGTCGAGGATGCCGGCACCGGGGGAAGCGTAATTCACACCACCCAGTATTCTAGTCCCATTTGTGTTGGGGTCCGCAAAGGGAGGAGGCGGAGGCAGACCCAACCATTCTCCTGATCATGAAATTCAAAATAATAATTAGACTTGTGTTTGCATACTACAATTCGTTTAGATTCTTACATGTTCAATCAAAATCAAAATTTTAATGTGAAAACAATATTAGTGTTTCTGCCATATCAAAATCAAAATTTAGATTTCCAAATAGACAACTGGAGCATTTGATTTCAGCCTTTTGATAACCAATTAAAGAGTGAATAATATTTTTAAAAATGAAAAAAAAGGAAAGACAATTTTAAAACATGTTTTATCCCCTATTTTTTGTGTGCAAACGTTCTTTTATTTGCTAATTTTGCTAACTTTAACGATGAAATACTTCCTCAATCTCATAAAATATTTCTTTTTTCTTTTTAATTTCATATTCTTTCAATTAGAATCTCTTACTTACTGTGTTATTATACTTGATGGATATAACCCACTAGTACCACCCGGCAAGTTCACAGACGCTCGGGGGTACCGGATTCTGGCCCCGCCTGACGTCACCAACCCCGGGAGACTGCCCGGGTGGATGACTTGAAGACTGCCCGGGTGGATGACTTGAAGACTGCCCAGGTGGATGGCTTTAGGACTGCCCGGGTGGATGGCTTGAAGACTGCCCGGGTGGATGGCTTGAAAACTGGTCGGCTTGAAGACTGCCCGGGTGGATGACTTGAAGACTGACCGACCGGAAGAATAGTAACGTCGGGACGTGCTTGACATGCTTGTTCTTTATTATAAATAGGACTAAAAGCCTCATTTGTGAGGCATGCTTTAATTAATCCGCACGGCTTGTAACTTTGTAATCGGTCCCTACATTATTAATAACTACTCGGGTTACAGGTGTATCCACCTACAACCCTTCCGTTTTTCGTAACTTAGCATTACGTTGGTTTTACACTATCAAATTGGCGCCACCCGTGGGACCTCTTTACAAAAAGAAGCCATGACGAACAACAATATGGAATCCATCATTTCCCAAATTTCCACCCCGGCGGAGGGCGCTACCCTGATCCCGGGAGGAATCACATCATTACCTTCTCTTTTCTCCCCCATGATCACCACCTTCACTACTCAAACAACGCCCAATCAGGCCCTCCAAAACTTTGGACAATTTATGCCCATTTTCCAACAACCCGGGGGATTTACTCTTTTCATCCCTAGGATGTATCCCCATGCTTTGGCTCAAAATACATCTCTTCCCAACACGCTGGGGCATCCCCCGCCGTTTCAACCGGCCAGTACCACCCGGTCGGTCATCCCGACAAAACCACCCGGGGAGCTGGAAAGGGCAGGTCCTTCTCGGTCCAGGAGGAGCAGATCCCACAAACTCCACACTCAGGTCACATCTGACGGGAACGTGCGCTCTGTGCGCAGCAGGGACGAAGACTGTGATATTCCCAAGGGCTAGAAAAAGCTGCAGGGCAAAGCCGTCCAGCAGGAAGGTTCACGACGGTCAGCATTCCAGTGGCTGGGACATGAGGGGCGGAACCAGAACCAACCGGCCAAGGAGCGGTTGGGGGTGAAGGTTCCCCAGCCAGGCGCATTCTACAGACTAGGAGGTGGTAGGCGACCCGGCCGGATCAAGCGCTTTGACCCTCGTCTCCGTGATGAGCCCCAACATAGCAGGGTGCCTAGAGCGGAGGGCAAGGCGGAAAGCCAGCCCAGAGTGGCGATGCGCACGCATGCTGAACCATCCAACAACCGGGTGGACAGGGCGGAAGAACGTTTGGAAAGGCTCTTAAAGAGAGTTCGTCGGGAGGAAAAGAAGAAAGTGGTGTTGAACAACCATTTTATCATCCGCTAAGACCGGATATGTACCGTGCTAATGTTCAATAAATTTGATCTTTTTTCTCAAAAGACTTCTCGCAAAACCAGTAAGAAAGGGTTAAAGACCTATCCACCCGGTGAATGTTCAATCGAATTGCGCATTTGAAAAAAAAAACCAATCGGCCTGGTCAAACGGATGAACCATATCGACACGGTAAAAAAAAAGAGTTGAACTTTTTCTAAAAAAAACTATTTACAAAACCGCCCGGGTGGAACACCATACTTTTTCAGAAAAGATGGTAAGACCAGTCGGGGAAGGTTGCAAACCCGTCCGCCCGGTCAATGTTCAATCGAATTGAGCATTACAAAACCACCTGGGCAGAACACCATACTTTTTCAGAAAAGATGGTAAGACCGGTCGGGGAAGGTTGCAAACCCGTCTGCCCGGTCAATGTTCAATCGAATTGAGCATTACAAAACCACCTCGGCGGAACACCATACTTCAATCGAATTGAACTCAAAAAAAAGATAAAAGTATGTGACACAGGCCCGGCCTGGTACGCTGGTCTCACACCAGTCTTGCACATATTAAAAAGACTGCGACCTAGTCGAAGTGGTACACTGGTCTCACACCGGTCTTGTGCAGTATAAATAAAAAAAAATAAAGAAAACATGTGACCCAGTCGAACTGTTACACTGGTGTCACACCAGTATTGCACATATTTTCCAACAAATCTGAGCCCAATCGAATTGGGTACACCGGTTGCACATCAGTTTCAGCAAAAAACAAGAGAGAGTCCGGTCGGACTGGGAACATCGAGCCTACCCCGATCTTCAATATCTTTTCCTGAACACTTTTCACCTAGGCAAAGTCAGGGTGAACCAACCTACCCAGGATAAATAAAAAAACCAAAATTGCCCACCCGATCAAGATTCAGACTCGAGTGAGTGACGGGGTCACGATGGATTCGCTTAACTTGGCTCGGAGGACTTTTTCAAGAATATGTTCCCCCGTTTGCATGGCCGAGGCAATGAAGGGAAAGAGTTGATTGCCTTGCTCACTCGGAGGACTAGAGCTCTTGTTCACTCGGGTGAAAGAAGAAATGACTCACATGATCAACTTTGAAGCATAGCCCGGGCATGCTTTGTCAAAACCCACCCGGGTGGCTTATTTTCTACTCAGGTAGAAAGAATGGTGAGATGCGTTAGACCGGGTAGATACAGTTCGGCCGTGAATAAAGAGATTGAGAGTTCGAACGGCCGGGTCAAAATCCTGCACCCGGTTACTCAAGATCCCGTACAGCCCACGGTTTTTTTGGTACTGACCGGTCCCAAACCCAAAGATCCCAATGTCATCAATCAGTTGCTGGGACACTTCGAAGAACCGGATGCCGACCTCCCGGTCAGGAAGTGCCTGGGCAGCGAACTTCTCCGGTTCCTGCGCAGCCCAAGCAGCGGCGTGAATTGCCCGGTCGGAGCGCTCCCTCTCCAGCTCAACCTTTAGCTAGGCATTCTCCACCTCCAGCTGGCCCGTCTGCCCGGCCTTCTCCGCCAACTCGGCGATCTTCCGCTTAGCTCGCTCATCCGACTCCTTGGCGAACTTGAGCAAGCCCTCGTGCTTGGCAAAGGGACCCCAGTAGGCTTCGGCCTGTTCGACCAGCTTCTCCTTCATTTTCTCGGGCGCCAACCGGACTGCCTTTGCATCCTTCCGGGCGGCGACCATTATGGCCTCAATCCGAAGCTTCTCATCTGTCAAGGACCTAACCAGCCGGGTGGCCCACTCCTGCCCAATCCGGGAAGAGGAAACGATGCGACAACTAGGCGGCGGCGTACCAGATTTCCGTAAAAACATTCTCGCCAACCATACCCGAGGATTCAAAAATTCAAAATTATTCAGACATTTGATTTCCGCCCTTGATGGTGCCCGCAAAGCCGAGAATCGGAGGACTCCTTGATGGATATAACCCACTAGTAGCACCCGGCAAGTTCACTGACGCCCGAGGGTACCGAATTCTGGCCCCGCCTGACGTCACCAACCCCGGGAGACTGCCCGGGTGGATGATTTGAAGACTGCTCGGGTGGATGACTTGAAGACTGCCCGGGTGGATGGCTTGAAGACCGGTCGGCTTGAATACTGCCCGGGTGGATGACTTGAAGACTGACCGGCCGGAAGAATAGTAACGTCGGGACGTGCTTGACGTGCTTGACGTGCTTGTTCTTTATTATAAATAGGACTAAAAGCCTCATTTGTGAGACATGCTTTAATTAATCCGCACGGCTTGTAACTTTGTAATCGGTCCCTACATTATTAATAACTACTCGGGTTACAGGTGTATCCATCTACAACCCTTCCATTTTTCGTAACTTAGCATTACGTTGGTTTTACACCATCAATACTTATTCATTATTAATAATCAACGTATAAAATCTTATTTTAATCTATCATAAAAAAGATAAAATGAGTAAATAATATTTAAATTACACTTTAAATACCGTTGAATTCAAATTTGGAAATGTTTGTTCTCATTGAGGAAGTATATATTTATGTATTGATAAATTTAATACGAGTACTAAAATTTTTACAAAGTTTGGAAGCCTGTGCATTTTCACATTTTGCAAACCTTCGGGATTGGCACGGATACTATTATGATAAAAGTATTAAAAGAAATCTACCGTCTATTTAAGTAAAACTAAAAAATGAACTCTTCTATCTCTTTATTTCGTAAATAGAAATATTGGTATTGTGAAATACTATAATTTGACATTGTGTATTGGTAATTCACAATAATTTTGACAATATTATGTTTTGGAAAATATTATTTAGCACGAGTTTAATGGACCAACACCCCATGTGGTTTGACAAATGTGTACCGTTACCCCCATGGTTTCAAAACTTATGTCGTTACCTCTCATAGTTCTGATTTTGCTACGTGAATGCCCCTCTAGGAAAAAATATCCTTCGAATTTTAGGTGAATAATTTTGCCCCCCCCCCATGGTTTTGGAAATGGGCGCCAATGCTCCCTCTCCTTTTTCTTTATTGTTTTTATTTTTTCTTTTCTTTTTATCATAAAGAGAAGAAAAATGTGCGTGTAAAATAATGAAAAACTATTTTTTCAAACCTACCTTTTTATCTTTTTGAATATGTCGGGAACAAAATAATACTGAATAACATCTTTTTAATATATAGTTTATTATATATTAATAATATTTTTTGGACCAATGCACAAAGATTTCCTTCATGACTTAATTTTTCATATTCTATAAAAGTATTATTTTCATATACTTTTCTTTTTCTTTATTTCCTTTTCTATTCTTTTTTCTTTTATTTTGATTTTTATTAAAATAAAAGAAACGGTATAAAATTAATGAACAGAAAATGAGAAATGAGCTTTAGTGAAAAAGGAGAATATTTTATTGATTTTCATATCATGAAAATGAACCAATAAAAAACATTTATGAAAAATAGTAGAAAAAAGAAAAACAATAAAGAAAAAAAGTGGTGTTTGTTCCAATTTCCAAAACCATAGGAGCAGTGGAGCTATTCATAATATTTGAAGGATATTTTAGTCGAGAGGACACTGACATAACAATATCAGAATCATAACGGGTAATGGCTATAAGTTTTGAAACTATAGTGGATAACAACTAGTGTACATTTACAAAACTACAGTGAGTCACGGTGCAATAAACTCTGTTTAGCACTACAAATCATATTTTGGAAGTCATCGCTAAAAGTTCAAGAGAATAGATAAAGAAACTAAAATGTAAAGGAAATTCTGAATATATTACTTCAATTTTGAATATATCATATATGGACTAGTTTGAATATTTTGCATTAATATAAAAATTGTACGGTACTTTTTCCATCTTAGCACGATTTCAATTGTCTTAATGAGGCTGGCAGCGGGCCTATTTGGTGAATAAAAAATGTGGGTTCTGATATTTTCAGATATCAGAATTATTTTTCGGTGTTTGGTAAAGATTAAACAAATTTCATATTTGATATTTTAGATATTTTAAAGCGAGTTGTGCTATCATAGTCCTAAGATCTACGCTAAAAGTTCAAGAGAATAGATAAAGAAAATGCAAAGGAAATTCTGAATATATTACTTAAATTTTGAATATATCATATATGGACTAGTTTGAATATTTTGAAATAGTATAAAACTTCTACAGTACTTTTTCCATCTTAGCCAGATTGGAATTGTCTCAATGCGGCTGGCAGTTGGCAATGATAATTGTTAAGAGTATCCCACATCGGAAAAGTGTGAGAAAAATAATCGGGATATAAGCTCTTGAGTTGAACTAACTAATCGATTGGATTCAATCTTTTAATGTGGTTCAGCCCAAGTGTCTTATTGCCCAATCCAATTGTCCATATCCCATCCTAAATTCTATCATGGTATCGGAGCAGGTTTTGGCACACCTCGTTTGTCAAGGTGTCCGGGAATGGGAGTTCATTTGCAAGTGGTCAACCGGTTAGATTCAAAATGGTCCGGTTGTCCACTTGAGGGGGGAGTCTTAAGAGTATCCCACATCGGAAAAGTATGAGAAAAATAATCGGGATATAAGCTCTTGAGTTGAACCAACTAATCGATTGGATTCAATCTTTTAATGTGGTTCAGCCCAAGTGTCTTATTGCCCAATCCAATTGTCTATATCCCATCCTAAATTTTATCAATAATTGAGCCTATTTGGTGAATAAAAAATATGGGTTCTGATATTTTCATATATAAGAATTATTTTTTTGTGTTTGGTAAAATTAAACATATTTCATATTTGATATTTTTGATATTTTAAAGCGAGTTGTGCTATCATAGTCCAAAGATCTTCGCTAAAAGTTTAAGACAATAGATAAAGAAAATGTAAAGGAAATTCTTAATATATTACTTCAATTTTGAATATATCATATATGGACTAGTTTGAATATTTTGAAATAGTATAAAATTTCTATGGTACTTTTTCCATCTTAGCGCGATTGGAAATGTCTTAGTGCGGCTGGCAGTTGGCAATGATAATTGGGCCTATTTGGTGAATAAAAAATGTGGGTTCTGATATTTTCAGATATCAGAATTATTTTTTGGTGTTTGGTAAAGATTAAACATATTTCATATTTGATATTTTAGATATCTTAACGCGAGTTGTGCTATTGTAGTCTTAAGATCTATGCTAAAAGTGCAAGACAATAGATAAAGAAAATGCAAAGGAAATTCTGAATATATTACTTCAATTTTGAATATATCATATATGGACTAGTTTGAATATTTTGAAATAGTATAAAACTTCTACAATACTTTTTCCATCTTAGCCGGAATGGAATTGTATTAACGCGGCTGGCAATTGGCAATGATAATTGAGCCTATTTGGTGAAAAAAAAATATGGGTTGATGATATTTTCAGATATAAGAATTATTTTTTGGTGTTCGGTAAATATTAAACATATTTCATATTTGATATTTTAGATTTTTTAAAGCGAGTTGTGCTATCGTAGTCCTAAGATCTACGCTAAAAGTTTAAGACAATAAATAAAGAAAATGTAAAGGAAATTCTTAATATATTACTTCAATTTTGAATATATCACATACGGACTAGTTTGAATATTTTGAAACATTATAAAACTTCTATGGTACTTTTTCCATCTTAGCGCGATTGGAATTGTCTTAGTGCGGCTAGCAGGTTGCAATGATAATTGGGCCTATTTGGTGAATAAAAAATGTGGGTTCTGATATTTTCAGATATCAGAATTATTGTTTGGTGTTTGGTAAAGATTATACATATTTTAAATTTGATATTTTAGATATTTTAAAGCGAGTTGTGCTATCGTAGTCTTAAGACCCACATGTGAAATATGAACCTTCTCACTTTTTTCATTGGCTTGTAGTTGAATGAGTTCAAGGCCCAATAGTTTAATCGTTTCATGTCTCAAAGTTCATTAAATTAATAAGGACCTAAGGAGCACAAAAGAATTTGCCTATCACAAATCATTTAAATGGGGGGTTGATATCTCTAGGTCCCGCGACCAACTATCGCTGTCACGACCAACTAGGCTCGTAGGCAACAACCCCTGCTTATCACTTGTTAAATCATGATTTCAAAATTTTCCAAACAATTTCATTTTCGTATTTTAGATCTCAGATCATTTATCCAAATTTCAGAATTCATATCATATCTCTAAAACTTAGCAAACAGCTCTTAGTTTATTAACAAAGAGGTGTGGTGAGATTTTGGTCAGTATGGGAAAATCTCTCTTATACAAAACAAACCAATTTATTTAAACACGAGTATATTTTTTACAAAAAAATGCTAGGAATCCATCACATGGGCCCATAAATGACAATCATAGATAATTCATACATATACAGACGATAATTGTCTGTGAACATATAGGATTATTGTCTGTGTGTACAGAATCACCTGTAATTGTCATCTACGGAGACAATCGTGGTGGGTTCCTAGCATGATCTTATTTTTTATCTCTCATTTTTTTACTCTTTGGGTAGAGCGAGGCATTTGGCTGCATGGATGTCGATAAATATAGAGTAGCTCTTTCGTGGTCCTAAGATTCAGATGTAAAATATTACTTTTCACACTTTTCATGGGTTACCAAGTAGATCATTTTTTTTGCAAAAGGTCCAATTCTTTTACGATATCAATTTACAGAGGTCCATAAAAATGAATATGCAACTTAGGATCACGGAAGAATTTGTCACAAATATAATGGCATGCCAATGGTACGTATTGACCAAATGGAAATTTCCAAGTGTGTCCCTGTTGGACGCTAGTGCATAAACGCTTTTCTAGACTTACAATTAGGATAAAACCATCAGTCTAAGGTCAAACCAAACCATACCGGGTCGAAATGAACAAAATCATATACTAGACTGAATTGAACAAGATCAGGGAGGTAAGATCGTACCTAAACCTATTTGGTTTTGGACCGGACTCAACCGAAATAGTTAGGACCGAACGAGTCTTGACCGATTGGATCGAACAGAAACATATTTTATAATTATTTTGAGTTATTAATTACTCCCTCCGTGCTATATCTTTCTTCCCGTTGCGCAAAACGAAGAAAAATCCCAAGTTTTTTCAATCTATTTTATTTAAATATTGGTATAGAAATAAAAAATAAAACATACATATTTAAAAACTACATCAAAAGTTTCACAAAACAAGTGACAAGAATATTTTATTTTATCATATAGGCCATGAAAAAACACTAATAAATATAAATTCCCGTGAAGTTGGAATAGTGCTCTGGGAAGAAAGTTTTAGGACGGAGGGAGTATATTTTAGGCTTTTTAATTTGTACTGTGCAAATAGAAAAAAATAAAATAAAATGGAAACTTCAAAATAGATACCAAACATGGACTACTTCTATGTATAATCATATCAACCAATGTGAAACAATTTTCTTTTGAATTCTTAAAAAAAATTACTTAATAAAAATCTTGTTAATTAGATCTATTAAGATATCTATTTAAATAGAGGACCAACGTGTAATACCAAACTTAAAAAGTAGAGTTTTGATATTTAGGTGTTTTCAATCTAATAAGGTTAGTTGTTAGGTCCAATGGGTACGAATCTAAATCATTTCAGGTTTAACCAAACTGAAATCCAAATGCCTATATTTTTTGGACCGGAGACCGACTTGAAATTTATTTGGTTCGAGTTCGGCCTGGACCTAACGACCTTGTTTGAATAGTTTTTTCAGTACGGACTTAAACTTGAACAACACTAGCTACTTAGAATTAAAAGTTCGACAATTTGTAGTCAAAGTTTTAAAAAATTACTTTAAAGTCAAAGTGAGAATACTCAAAAGGGACGAAAAGAGTAATAGATATAAGTATATGTGTATGTATATATGTGTACCAAGGAGATCGGCAAAGGTTTTGCCGTTTGTAGATCTGCCAGTTGCTCCTCCGGAGAAGTCCACCCCATAGGGATAGTAATTGGATTTAGCTCTGGAGTTGAGGAAGTTAGCGTTGCCATCATCCACCGTTGAATCCCCGAACACAAACAGCGCAGATGCCTGTGCCGCTGCCCCTTCTGCCCCATTATTATTATTCCATTTCAAGATGACAACCATCACCGCAATTATAATATTATTGTACAAATGCCCAAACCACCTTTGATTATTATTTGAGAACCCCATCATATTGATCTTTTTTAAACGTATACTTCTCCCTTCAATTCCCTGCTTCTTAATTAATTAGCTACTTTTGTACTCGCTCTCGTCTTTGGGATGGATGTTTATATATATAAACAAACCAAGATAATACAAGAGGCCAAGTGCATAGTTAACTAGAGAGCTAAATTAAAGGCCATAAAATGATGGCTTTATTCATCAACTTTTCCCTCTATTCAGATCATCACATTCTTTAAAACGCAAACAACGTTTATTATACTATTATTCATCATTAAGTTTCTTTCACTTTTTTATTTTATTTTTGTTTTATACTCCAACTAATTCTTGTGCTCATATATAGCCGTAGACGATGAGACATGTGATGCAGTGGGCTTTCCTATATATACCTAAAAATTATACTCCTTGCGTCCCATTCTCTAATTTGACTTTTTACTATTTTTTAACGTAACACTTTGACCATTAATATCTTTATTTATATATAGATACCATACATCATAAAAATATGATACTAGTATTACAAAACTCTATTTTGAAATTAACTTATTGATTTTAAATTTATGTCACAATATAATATATTTTTCTTTAATTTATAGTCAAAGTTTAAAAACGTTGATCATGAAATAGAATTGGGAAAGAATCATAAGGGACATTATGACTCATGCAAACTATTAAAAATAATACGAATAATAAGAAACAAATATCATTGTTGATTACTTTCCTTATTCTATTGTTTCTAAAATTGTTATTCAACTATGAATCTAAGATTAAGATTCTCTCTTATCACTACTACAAAAATGACCAAATCAACTGTCTCATTTGTATCAATTTAAAAAGAAACATATGCAAATAAAGCAGTCAAATTTCAAACACCACTTTTTTTGCATCAGTTATTACTAATAATCAATGCAAATATCATTTGTATCGGTTATTAGTAATCACTGATGCAAAAGTCTAAAAGTAATAACCAATACAGATGGTATTTGCATCAATTATTAGTAATAATCGATGTAAAAAGCATTATTAAAGCTAACCACATAGCCTTTATCTTTTACGCGGTCGTCCATGTAATGCCTCGAAACTCAGCCTATCAGACTTAATTAGTTAAGATTAATTAATTAGATAAATTAATTATTGAGACGGGCCTAGAACAACAACAACAACAACCCAGGTGAATCCCACAACAGTAGGGTCTGGGGAGGGTGTGTGTACGCAGACCTTGCCCCTACTCGGAAGTAGGGAGGCTGTTTCCAAGAGACCCCCGGCTCCACCTGTAACGCCCTGCAACCCGGTCTATTAGAATTGATTAATTTAATTAATTAATTACTGTTCCGGACCGGGGTTGGGAAAATGAAAAAGTTCTTAGAAAAATTATTTGATCATATCATTAAATTCGTCTTGACTGTCTGATTCCAGAAACGCAAACGGATTTCAATTCGGACCCGTTCGGGGGGAAAAGCGCGTACCGTTCAGGTCAGATTTTTACAATACGGAGTAAATAAGTTTTGTAACCTCCCTAGACCCTTGGTTCGGCTCCTTCAACACCCCCATCATTTCCAATTAATAGTCTCCTTAATCCACCATTTAAAACCCCATCATTTCCTCTCCCTTCACACCCCATTTTGTAACCCCCAAGTATTCACAATCTCCACTCTCTCTCACTCTCTTACTTTCGGCCAAGGCAACAGCAGCCAGGGAGGGTTCCGACGAAGCTCCGGTGGGTGCACAGTTGAGGGAGAGGAAAGGAGGGAGGAGCTAGGCCATCCGTGCGAAGCGTTGTCGTCGTTCATCTCGTTCCATCAACCCCTTCGTTTAGAGGTGAGTAGTTGTCTCTCTGATTCTAGAACATTTAGTTATAAACTATGTCGTTATATTCATAGGAATATCGTACGCAACCTACGTAGAATCTATGCATGTTCGTAGGTTA